ACTGGGCGATGAAATCCAGATGTCGAAGCTGACGAGGAGAACATGAGTCAGAGTTTTTTCTAAAAGCGAAGGTTAATGGTCGATGATCGGTGAAAATGATGAAGTCGTGTCCTTCCAAGTTGTGCCGGAAGTATTTAACAGCACAGTACACAGCAAGTAGCTCCCTGTCATATGTGCTGTATTTCCTTTCTGCAGTAGTAAGTTTTCTGGAGAAGAATGCCATTGGGGAAAGTCCTTTAGTGGTATGGGCTTGAAGCACTGCTCCTATGGCCGTGTCAGATGCATCTACCATTATAGAGAGCTGATCACTAGGTGAGTGATAAGAAAGTGTGGCTGCATTTGCCAGATCGTGTTTGCATTGCACGAATGCTGCAGATGCAGATTCAGTCCAAGGGACAGCTCGTTGATCTTTTTTTTTTTTTGCTATTCTTCAGAAACTCATGTAGGCAGGCTTGTGTGTTTTTGCGGCATTTGGCAGAAAGCGTCGGTAGAAATTTAACATTGCTAGAAAACGCTTCAGTTCAGAGATGGTTTTGGGCTGAGGTAGGTCGTTAATTGCTTTGACTCTTTCCGGTAAAGGTTTGACTCCATTCTGGGTGATAAGACATCCAAGAAAGGAAACTGAGGGTTGACCAAGTACACATTTGGATGGATTTAGTTTTAATCCATGATCTTTAAGGCGAGTGAAAATCTGACGCAGATGTTGAAAATGTTCTTCCGCATCTGTAGATGCAACCAGGATATCATCAAAATATGGGATGCAGAAATCGAGGCCAGACAGTACTTGGTGTATGAAACGCTGAAATGTTTGGCCAGCATTGCGAAGGCCAAATGGCATATATAAGTACTCAAAGAGACCAAATGGTGTAGTCACTGCGGTCTTGGGCACATCTTCAGCATGCACTGGGATCTGATGATATGCTCTGGCAAGATCGAGGGTAGAAAATATATGTTTGTTCCATGAAAAAGATGGGTACAGTCTTGGATATGTGGGACTGGATATCTGTCAGGGACTGTGACGGCATTAAGTCGACGATAATCTCCACAAGGCCGCCAGTCACCATTAGACTTTTTAACCATGTGAAGTGGACTGGCCCATGGACTTTTAGATGGGCGAATGGTTCCCTGTGCTAGCATGAATTCAAATTCTTTGCGAGCAGCTTTTAGCATCTCTGGAGAAAGACGACGAGGCTTGGAAAATACAGGTGGGCCATGTGTTTCAATGTGATGATACACTTCTGGCTGATGAGTATGCTGCCCTGATTTGGATGGGTTTAAAATGTCAGGGAATTCTGCTAATAACCGATGAAACCGTGTGCTGCCCGATACAACACTTATGTTGGTAGGTACGTTCGATATGTGAGAAGCTTGGCCCTGTGATGTCAGCTGAGTTGTAGCATCAATTAAGCAATTATTCTTGACATCCACTAGAAGGTGGAAATGTGTCAAGAAGTCGACACCAATAATTGCTTGAGTTACATCCGCAATAATAAAAGGCCAGTTGAAAGTCCGGCGCAAGTTTAAATCAAGTGTCAATAGTTTGGTGCCGTAGGTTGCAATTTGGGTACCATTGGCTGCATACAGTACAAGTTTATTAAGTTGGTGAGCATTTGTTTTAGTTCTCGGGAGCACTGATATGTCAGCTCCAGTATCTACTAGAAAACATAACTGAGTTGAACGATCAGCCAGTACTATTCTGTCGATGTGGCGGACATTCTGTTGGCCAGCAGAAGACCGCCCATTTAGTTTCCCGCTTGTTACAAAAGTGCACGGAGGGGCACACTTGCGAGCTTGAGAGCCAAAATTCATATGATAAAAACATATGCCACTTGTGGGTTCTTTGTACTGCGTTCGAGTATTGTGACGAGATTGACTCCTGCTTCGGGCACGAAATTTATTACGTGGGCCCTGATTTGATCGATTGTATCTCCGTGAAGCATGAAGACTTGTAGAGAGTTCAGATACTTTTTTGGTCAATTCAGCCACTTGTTGTTCGAGGGATGAACTGGAAGGTGCAGCATTAGCAGCACTGACATAAGCTGGAGTAACAAGTTCATTAATTTTGTCAGCCATTGCTGCTAAACGGGTTAGATCTTCATTGGAAGCAGCAAGAATTATTTGTATGTTATTAGGGAGACGCGAAAGCCATAGTGACTTCAACAAGTCGTCACTAAAATGGCTTCCTGCCAGATCACGCATTCGTGACAGCAAGTATGAAGGTCGCTGATCTCCAAGTTCAAGTCCTTGTAGTAAAGTACGTATTTTTGAAGATTCACTTTCTGAATAGATTTCAATGAGCCGCTGTTTCAGTTTGGAGTATTTATCACAATCAGGTGGTTTGAGAATTAAGTCATGCACTGAATTCAGAATATCAGACTCAATTGCTGCAACTACATGGTTGAATTTTGTAGAATCCTCACTAATGCGAGCGATATAGAAAATTGTGCTTCGATCTGAGCGAACCACAATGAAGGATTATTTTTCCAGAAAGGCGGTGGCTTCACCGCAACGCGTGTGATTTGTGGCTCTGGTGGAATATCGTCGGGCATACTGATAGATAATTTTCACTTTAATTAATAAACACTTAACAGCACAAATATTGTAGCATGAGGATACACTATTGATATTTTACCATGATAACAATAAATATTTTAACCATGCAGAAAAAATTTACGTAACGATACACACACAAATAATACAGGGTCAGCAATTACACACACAAATAATATTTTACCGAAATGCATTTGAAAAGAAACCCTATTTGAGAAAAAAAATGATGCGTTCATTTTGTATTGCGCACACACAAAATCACCACTTCACACTGCTAAGGCACTTTCGAAGGAAAAAGGAAATCACTCCTGTAGCACATGGGAAAAAAATTCACTACTTTCGAACACTGAGGGAAGAATTTTGCCGTAGCACGTTGCAGAAAAATTACTGATGTAGCACATTTAGCGAAAATCACTATTGTATCACATTTGTCACAAAAGTTGAATGATCGAAGAATTATTGCACGACTGGCGAAGTCAGCGGAACGGAACAGATCACATTGATGATTTGCTGAAGCTCCTTGCGATGATATGCACGACTTTGAAAAAAACACAAGCAATATATATCAATACTTCTAGAAATAATTAAAGGGGTACGTTGTAGCATACGTTTAATGTCCATATTCGTTGTTATTTTTAGTCAGTTCTTCAGAATGCCTTGGATGCACGTGGCTTAGGGTCGTTGAAAATCCATTGTCAGTAGCGTGCTCAGTCAAAAAGGTCACCACTTTTGGTGGTCGTGTGCTTAATGCATGATATAATTAAAGAAAATAAGAGAAGACAATCTCCTATAACAAAAGAATATATTAAGTACTAAATTACAAAAAATTTAAATTACATTGCAGAGATCAACACAGAGCTCGGAACACAGTTCATGCTACCTTCGCGTACAGTTGTGTGACGAGAAGTCTCTGTGAGTAATGACGTCGCTTTGCTGCTCCGATTAAGAACTGGATTTTATACGTGGCGCCATCTCATGAATAGAAGTTGAAGTATCTGTCGGAACGCCACACTGATCTAGGAATCTCTAACAGCAAAACGCCTGAATTCAAGAACTGCACCGACTGGAAGTTATTCAGTCTGCTCAGAAAAAGACAAGTAACTGTTGTCTTAAGAATCCTAGCGAAATTGATAAAGCTGTTAATACGCTCACCAAGGAAATTAATGCTGCTTATAACAGTTCCACCCGTAAAATACCGGCTGTATATAACACGCATGCTTACTTCCAAATTACATTAGAGATAAAATCAAAGAACGAAATAGAATACGTAAAAGGTGGAATCTCACTTGGGCCCCAGATCTTAAGAATTCATTAAACATGCTAAATAGAGAAATCAAGAGGGATATTATTCAACACAGAAAGAAAACCTGGGAAAATAAAATTCTTGATTTCAACGAGCCGAATAGCTCCTTTCGGGCTTTCGCACGCAGACTCAAGCAAAATCCGACTTCCAATAGGCCCATTTATACGGAAAGCAGTTTGCTATTACTAATAAAGAAAAAGAAAAAGTTCTGGCTGAACATCTTGAAAAACAATTTGTTCCTAATTCCGACCCATGCGACTACAGCATTTCAAGTTTCGCGTCACTCCCTTTTAGTTTATAGAAATTGTCAGACTCGCCGCGGCACTCCTCTCCATTGTTCGCCCTCACTTGTTGTAGTTGGGCTTCACAAGCCTTGGTGATGCACGGTCACCCCCCTTCTCATTACCTTTGACCTTTCAACCATCCGTTCTGACGGTCTTATGTCATCGGCATCTAATGGCAACTACTCACAGAGCCAGATACATCGCGCTTTGCGTGTTATCCTGGCGATACTGATACCTACTATACTAGACTTTCCCAGTTACAAGTGCATTACCTGAGGAACCTTAGCATTACCAACATTTCGCTTTTATTGGACTTTCGTGCTCAATAGAGTTTATACATATTTCCAAGAGAAAACAGCAATCAGATCATAATTCACAATTAGAATATATGTTGCAACTCTCAGGGCTATAACCCCCAAGTCACAAATTAAATAATCACAGCAGGGATTATTAATATGAAGAATTTTTTATTAATATAAAGATTTTAATATGGATATCTCACACAAGAGGAAAACGTTACATTTCTCTAACTAGTACATACATATAACCGAGTGAAAAGGGAATTTCCCCACTTAGTTTGCAGTTTAAGGTACTCAATAAATTGTACGTAAGTACTCAATAAAATTGCATGCTATTCATTTTATGTTTCAAAATCAATTTAATAATTTAAACTTCATTAATTTAATACTACGTAAAAAAGCTCAATATTTGGCAAAATATCCTGCATACTTCGGAAACACATATTACTTTTAAAATTCTTTTAACTATTCGAAAACTGCCGAGGAGAAGAAAGGTCCTTTTTCATTAATGTCTATTAAGAAAATGAGAACTGTCATAATTAAATTAATAAAGACTACAAAGTTTGGCTGTATTTTCTTCTATTCCAAATTTAGTCTGCAACAGAAGTGTCATAAATTGAAATCTCCTCATTGGTTAGAATAAAGTGCTTCAATCTAGATTTTAACCGCTCAATTACTGGGCATGTTTTAGAGTTGTTCAGCTGATTGGTTACTGTGTGCGGTGTGAGAAATAGAAAGTGAACATTATTTTAAAAATATATTTAGAAAATATAATTTCTGGTGTATATTGTAGTTTTTGGGGAAAGGGTTTGGATCTTTTACTTTATTTGAATTAGAAAAATGGCGGATACGAAATACAGTTACTTACCAAAACAGTCATCCGCCGACCACGATGAATCTTCTGAAAGCAAAGTGAATAATGTTTCATCTTCTCCAACGAACGATATTGCAAAGGCCGTGCATGAAACAGTTGAATCAGCAAGACATACGCTACGTTACAATATTTATGGTATTGCTGGAGGTTTTATTTCATTATTTTATGGGGCCTACTTAATCGGACATTCTGGGATTGGGGCAACTTCCATGCTATGCATCGGTTTTGGAGTTGCTGTATCGGTTTGGATGATGAGAAACAATTATTTAACAGAACGAGATATTCGTCTTTCTGCTGATAGATCAGTTGCATTGAACGAAAAAGGATGTATATTAGCCCAGTTAACAGATTTACCGTCATGGGTAAGTTAGTTTCGGTGAACTTTTGGATTTTTTGTTTTGATTCATATATTAAGAAAATAACAAACCTGAAGTTAAATGTTCGTGTTGACAGCTGCTACCTTTATAATTTCAAGTTCAGCAAATTACTATGATAACATTGGTTTCAACATTTATTTATTTCTTAAATATTTATTTCTGACTCAAAGTAATGACTTTTCAAGTATCACTTCTTTTTTTGTGTTGGAGAATGTGATAAATTTGTTGATCTTTTCTACTGAAAAAAATTTGCTTGTTTCATATTTATATATTTTATTCCATATTTATAAATTTTGCTTTATGTTTTGCATATTGAAGCAATTTGTGGTATTTACCTATAACATTTTTTTCACCAGATGTAATCATGCATGATTTTTAACTATATGTAAAAAAGTATTGCAAATATGCTGATTTAGAACTTGATGTACATTTTAAGTATAATGTATTTATTTTATATTAATTACTTATCAATTTTCTTAGGTCTTTTTCCCAGAAACAGAAAGAGCAGAATGGTTAAACAAAGTGAGTTAGTTCAATATTAAGCAGTTATTTAAATTTTACTCAAATTGTGTTATATTATATATGAAATTTTGTATTTTGTGTTAAAGTAGAGGAAGAATTTTACTCAGTCATAGTGAAGTTAATCAGGAAACAGTATCAGAATAAAAGTTAGACAGAATTTAGGAATGTTCTTCCCCCCCTTTCTACCTGTGATATTATTTGTGTGTGCATATTATTATGTATAAATGTATGGTATGTATGTGTATGTATTATAATTATATATATTAGTTTTTCAGGATTAAAAGCATTCTTTCATACACAAGAGACGAAACGAGATCATACGCAAATTATTATGGACTAATGTCCCTCAATAAGCCAGCCCTCTTCTAATAATACACAATAAGTTACTTTTTGTTTAATGTACTATTCTACTTAAAATCCTAGTATACGATGCAGCCTTGGCATGATTTTGAAAATTATCGCCAACACCAAAAATGACCCAAAGAACATTGATTTATACATTATATGCTATCACTATATATATTCTTTGAATATCCGTTTACTACTTGTCGTATGTGTCCCATTTTTACTGCTCGTCATAAAAGTCACCAAAAGTAGCCAAATCCCGTGTGCACTGGATATTAGGATTACCCTATTCTACCTTATTTTTTATGTGTGTACTATTCTTTATATTTTTTTATTTTAAAATGTAATTTTTGATACATACCAATACAAATTTTAAACTTATAAGTTTATAATAAGTTTTGGTTGATCTTTACATTACGGTAACTGGTAGTTTGGCGACATTTTGGAGGCGATAAAGGTTACTACCTGGGACTTTGGTAATAATGTGAGCAGTACTGAGTTCCCGATTACGCATTATTTTGTGTGGGGGAAATGAGAGATCATGGGATATGTCATGTGAAATGTGATCTTGAAACATAGTAAGTACAAAGAACATTGTTAATCCAGCTATAGTGAACGTAAAGTCTTTGTAAAAGGTTTCGCTTGAGTATTTGTTCGTGCTTATTAAAATACCTTTTCGGTTTAATCCTAGTTCCTAGGTGCACATGGGATTTGGCTACTTTTGGAGACTTTATGATGAGCAGTAAAAACGGGACATATACGATGAGTAGTTAACGGGTCATTCAAAGAAAATATACAGTTAAACATAGTATATAGTATGTATATAGTATATATATTATGTGTGTATAATATATATATAGACGTTCTTTGGATCATTTTTGGTGTTGGTGATAATTTTCAAAGTCGCGCCAAGGCTGCACCGTATACTAGGATTTTACCACCTTTTCTATTAGTAGGAAAGTCATGTTTTCAAGCTTATTGGCCCACCAGCTGCCAAGTGGTAAAGTCGCTGAACACTGATGGTTTGGTTCAGGTATCGAATCCTGGCGAACAGGGTAGCTGTGTGGGCATTTTTGTGGTTTTCCTCATGTATAACATGTAGTGAGCCAGTTTCCCTTAAAACATCCGACACGAAGGCATTCACTCCCTTAGGCAAATAGACCTCAAGTGCTTTGCTGTAACCAAATTAACCAAACCAATTCTCAAGCTTATTTATTTTTGTGAAACTAAATTTTCTAACTGGAAATATGTGCTCAAGTAGTCCTGATGCATTTCAATTCACACTGATACCTGAAAAATGCAAATATTATTTTTGACAATTTTCTGTGGTATTCAGACAGTGGCTTCCAAAAGTGTTCGGCATTTTAAGAATTTGTAGTAAAAGCTGTATAGCCTGGAATTAAATTCAAATATAAAGCCAAATATTTTTTCATATCATCTCCATGCAATTTGAATAAATACAAATTATCGATGCATTCTTGTTTATTTTTACAGTTAACGGCATTCAGCAATATTTACATCATCATTTGCGAATTCTATTTTAAAAATCATTCACATTTGATTTATTATTCTTATCATCATTTTGGTAATCAACATGAAAGTGAATTTTCTTCAAATTTAATTCATGTAGTCTTTCAAAAGCATTCTGCATTATTTTTCTTTTCTTGGCACAGTATTGGATTTTAGCAGTTTCATTTGAGGCAGTAAAAGCAAGCGATTTTTACAGCATCTTCATAATCACTGCAGAGAAAATGTTCGCTACATATTCTTGTATTCTTCACCTTTGTAGAAGCCTGTCTTAGGCACATGTATCCATTTTTTCGCCAAAAGCAAACTGTTCTGTGGAAAAATATGAAATACAGTATCGCTATCTTTCTCATTTCCATGAATTTTATAGCATTTTGCTACAACACAAGAAGACTTATTACATAAACGGTACTTTACAACAGTGGTCTTGGACTTGCACTGCAAATGCCAATGCACAATTTGAAAGTAGCTAACGGGTAGCAATTAAGAAAAAAAAAAAAGGGCTGGTATGTTTTTAACAAAATAAAATTTGTTAATTAAATTAAAAACTTTTACAAGATATTTGTAAAAATGTATGAATTAAAGGTAAAGGTATGTTTATGGGTACCACTTAGCGATTTTTTGTGGCACTTGGATACTGAGTTTGTGCAATTCTTTGACTTGATCGCCGCTACACAAAGTAACAACTCAAAGAATTGCGCACTCCCTTGACCCATGTGTACACGTTGACCTATTTTCACTTAAAAAAGCATCAGAGAATTGCACAAACTTGCCACTGTACACGCCCTTGACTTTGTCCGTGTACACATCGATATATTTTCACTTAAATAGTCAAAGGAGAACCCAATTCTCGATAAAAGTATATGGTTAATCTTTGTATTATGGTAACTTGGTGAAAATTTGGCGACCAACCCTGCTACAGCAACCTGCTATTTTTTGTTTTCACGAAGTAAAGCGTGTTTTTTTTTTTTTTTTTTTTTTACTCGACATTTTTTCCCAACAATCTGGTAGCCGAATTACGCTTATGCTAGAATTTTTATGGAACAAAAGTGCTTAATCATGACGAAGATTAGGTGCGAAATTGGGAGAAAGTGCAGAATTGCCCACTGCTTGCCGTGTTTTTAAGAATTGCACATACACGGTATTATCCATGTACACGTCGACCTATTTTCACGTAAAAAAAATCCCAGAATTGCACAAAAATGGCATTGCACACACTCTTGACTTTATCCATGTACACTGCTAAAGTCCTAGCTAGTAACCTTTATCCCTTTACCAAAATGTCGCCAAATTATCTGTTACCATATTCCAAAGATTAGCCAAGTATATTTACGGAACATTCAACTACTCAGGTTACCATAAAAAAAAGAACAACTTGGTGATAAATGAAACAACAACTTCGCGATAATACAAGGGGTACCGTTCAGTCTACTCTAACTGAATAAAAATATAGCAAAGAAAAATATTCAATTTATACTTATATTTTTCTTAAAATTTAGAAGTTGGTATGTGCAAGAAATCTCTGTTGATCGCAATTTAAAATTTTCAGATTGTCATTTATTCAATTAATATATTAAACTACTAAAAAACTTTTAATTTAAACTATAGAGAAATATACTAAAGCTTCCCAAGAGGGACAAAACTTGAGAATAAATAATAACGACCTCATCTCTTTCTTTTATTTATTACCGTATATACCCGCGTATAAGTCGAGATATTTTGGACAAAAAAAGGACTTCCCAAAAAGTGGGGGGGGGGGTCGACTTATACGTGGGGCCATAAAAAATTAAAAGAATCGGAAGTTCAAAAATTTCTTTATATAATGCAGTTGTTTTCTTCCTGTGCTCAAATTGGACGACTTATCAAATAAGTCACTTACTTGAAGTAATTTCATGACTTAAATTATGTGACGAACTAATCACAGAGTTTCATACTTTAACTAGAGTATGTTTCGACTAAACCAAAGAATTTTCGGCCCCTGAACAACCGATCAATATCGAGCAATAAAAAAGTTTCGCCAACACGCCAAGAAAAGAGAAATGCAGATAGTCATTTTTAAAGATCGTCCGTTGATCATTTTTAAAAGAAAAACTTTACCGAAAAACGTTGTGTTTCCATCAAGTGTGCTGGTTCGCGCCCATGAAAAGGGATGGATGGATGCTGACGGAACAGTCGATTGGCTTAAAAAATGTGTGGGATAAAAGACCGGGAGCAGCTTTAAAAAAAACCTTCGCTTTTACGATTAGCATACGATTCTTTTCGTGGACACTTTTCTGAAGAAGTGACAAAAGTTACTAAACACCTAAAAACGACTGTGGCCGTAATTCCGGGAGGATTAACATCCGTCATTCAACCCTAGATGTCTGCCTCAATAAAGCCCTTCAAAGTAAATGTTAGAAAATATTGGACAGAGTGGATTAGTTCCGGTCGACCAACATTTACAAAGAGAGGCAACATTAAAAACCCCGATATTACGTTAATTGCTCAGTGGGTTAAAGATGCTTGGAACGGAATATCCTCTGAAATGATTATAAAATCATTTAAAAAATGTTGTACTAGCAACGAACTAGACGGCACGGAAGATGATACTGTTTTTGAAAGGGAAAATGACGAAGGCTCTAGTAGTGATTGAAACAATACAGAGTTCGAGACTGAAAATATGTATCATGACAAGCCAATGACGACAAAAGAGTTCTATGAAATGTTTGGCGAATCTGACCATGAATCGGACGTTGAAGGATTTTGATTTTGTTTATTTACCAAGGTATTTTTTTATCGTATATTTACTTTTTTCCTCAGATGATTTTGAATAAATGTAGTACTTAAAAAAAATTTTTCGAAGTTTTTTGATCGATTTTGGACGTGGGGGGTCGACTTATACGCGGGTTTCTTATTTTCTACGAATTTTTATGTCGAAGTGGGGGGTCGACTTATACGTGGTATCGACTTATACGCGAGTATATACGGTAGAGTTTTCTATGATGCAAAACGGAAAAGTAATATTTTTATATCATTATTGTAAAAATCTTTGTCTTTTACTACACCTTTCAGCTACATCACCTCATGATGTTTTGATTTTCATGAAGAAGATAATCTTGAATGGAAATTACCAGTGGTGTAGCTGGAGT